CCTTGGACCACCATCAGCGATGAGTTTGCCGACAGCTCGTTCTTTGTGACAGTCAAGTTGAGTTTTCCATTGACAGTAGCCCAGAGCAAAGACTCCTTACTTTCTGTGTCATCTTTCCATATTTTAATTCCTACATCAGCCACAGATGTTTTGGTGTATGATGTATGTTGTTTCTCACTTTTTAACTTAAAAAGATCCTCTCTGTAACCAATAGCATGCATTAATTTTTAAGAAAGGCACGCTTTGGAGAGATGTTTGCTTCTTGGTTTTATTTTTATTTTTCATTTGATTTTTGTGTGCAGTTGTATGCCGTTAAATCTAACTGTTCCCCTCTCTCCCATTAAAAAAAAAAAGAAAAGAAAAGAAAAAAGAAAAAAAGAGAAAAGGCTTAAATCCTGAATTTGTGTGGTAGCATATTTTGTAGCTATGTCATGAGAGGTTTCTGTATTCTTTCCCTAGTTCTTTTTAACAAACCGTAGCAAACATACACTGATTTCCCATACACATTACAGCACAATGATCTTACTTGTAAAGGGGACTATAGCAATGTTTTTCAGCCATGTACTGGAGATGGAGTCCTGGTTGATGTTGGTCTAATTATTCATACCTAGTTAGCAAGGTGGAAAAACACATTAGCCCTATCAGTGATGTAGCTGGGGGGTTCTGTGATGTAAAAATTCCAACTGGTTTTACTGCAGGGCTACTGAGAACCAGAGCTGTTGCAAAGGAGAGGTGACAGGCACTAGATCTTCCTCTCTGAGATGTGTCCCATCTTCTGCATGCACGTAGTTCACGTGTACTGAAATTACATGCAAAACATGCCCAGGCAGTATTTATATCTACTGTCACTACACTGTGCAAACGTAGCCATCAGTATCTTCTGGGCTGCAATTTGCCTGGAAGAATTTCTTGTGGTGCTGACTCACAAGGGGTTCTGCAGATGGAAGTTGTAGCACAAGCTCCCAGCTTTTGCCTTCTACCTCAAAGTGGAAACTGAAGATGGAATTTGCGTATTAGCAGAAAAACAAAAACAAAAAAAAAACCCACAAAACCACAAACACCACCCTTGAGAACAGCCAGGGCTAGATTTAAAAGAAATTTAGTATACCGATGTGGATGTATGAAAGGTAATACAAAGGCAGTGGCTCTTCTGATAGTGCTGTTCTTCACGGGGATGTGTGCTCAGGGATAGGTGATAGGAAGGTGGCACTGCTATTCTGAAACTTCTTCTCTCTGCATCTGCAGGATAGCCTTTTGATTATTGCTTATGAAAGTATCAGGGCTGAAATTGAATAGAGGATGAAGATTCCAGTAATTCTAAGACATTTCAGGTGTTTTTTTGTTAGCCTCCATTCTCTCCTGGATGCTTGGATCACCGAAGGTGTTTCTTTATTTTTTTCCCTTTTGTTTGTTTGTTTGTTTGTTTAAAGACAATTTCTGGGTATGCCTTTATGTGTATATACTATGCTATGCTTTACCTTAAATACGTACTTGCACTGCAATGTAAAATTACCCATAGCTGTGATATAATATACTGCTTTCAGAAAAAGTTCAAGACTGTTGTGTACATCAAAATGGAAAATTCATGTTGCCAGGCTAATAGAAGTTTCTCATGACTTATCTGCTTCCCCTCAAGTTTCAGTGTAATTTCAGTTCATGTAATTTCATGAGAGCATTAGGTTAGGTAATCAAAATGTGTCACAGTGAATATCTAGGATCTGTTGTTGGAAATCTTTGTTCACACTGATGTAGATTTAATTCCTGCACTGCTTCTCTGTTTTGTCTTCTCATTTACCTCTTTGCAATGTCCTTCCAACTGTGATTCATAGTTTCTAATAAAACCTTGCCTGCTTCCTAAAATTTATTGTTTCAAACCAAGAAGGCAAATTGCCCATTTTGGTATCTATGTGAGTGCAGAGCATTGATGACGGCTACCTGTGACTGTATCTACACTACGTTCAAAGGTGTGATGGCAACGTGCGTAGATACTGCTTTGCAAATGTTGGTCCAACTAGCCTAGGTGACAGCAGCGAAGTTACAACAGCACTGAATTTGGCTTCAGCTGTACAAACCTGGGCAGGATCCTGGTACTATCTGATAACTGAGGCCTCTGCTGTGTTCTACTTACAGCTAATGGGATTTTGCATTGTTAGCTTCAGTCCTACCTCTGATTACAACTTGTATGTAGCCTGAAGCTCATTCTGAAGAAAGGTGAGGTAGTAATACTAATGAAAATTATTTACTTGCAGAAATAAATAGTCAAGACTGAAGAGATGACCTCACAGTCATCTTGGTCTACTTGCCTGATCTTATGACTTCCTTGACAGGTTAGTCACTAAGGATGCAGCATCAGCAGCCAGACCATCTCTGACTGGCATTTGTTCTCAGCTTGACCAAGAAGCTACTGAAAATATGTAGTTCACTATAGATCATCTAACTCTTTTCATTTTTTTTTTTTGAATTAATTAATTTATTTATATATTTTGCCTCCAGACTAATCTAATTTCAACGTTTCATGTCAGCTACTGCTACCCAGGAATCAACAGTAATGCAACATGTGTAACCCACTTGTTGTTAGTGCCACATATATGAATCATGTTCCAGGAAATCATGAGATTTAGAAAAAATCCTCATGCACCTGACTTCTGTTTGTTTTCCAAGGTTTTGACTCACTGGAGGTTCACATTTTAAAACTTTTCTTTAGAAACATGGACTTCATTATAAATGCCTTTTAAAATGCTGATGATCTCATGCTTCCAAGAACCCCCTTGGCTGAGTATTCTCTTACTTCTTCCCTTTCTTCAGCCTCTACACAGCTACGTAAAAGATGGATGGTGCCACTTTCTACTTTGAATGTGCTTCTAAGTGTGTGTATTATACTCAGTGCTTCAGTCTGATCTTCTTGGTATGGCACTTGTACTATGAGCCTGTCTATTGGGTATCAGGAGATGAAGCACAGGCATGACAGACTGTGAATCTTAAGTAGCTGTAGGCATCAGATAGGCCCTAGAAATGCTCAGCTAACCCAGGATCTTGGCAGCAGATTACAAGACCTTTTGGCTCTCAGTTATCTTCACCGGTGAAAGTTTAAGCACCAATGACTTTTCAGGTGCCAGAGCTTTGAAAGCAGATTTATATTTATAAATACAAATACTACTCAGACCAGAGCCAGTTGGTATGAGGTAACAAGTTTCTGTGCCTCAATAGCTCTGTATACTCTGTACTCTTAATATGTGGCAGCCACAAGTAATTTGAGTGAGCATACTCCATAGTGAAGGGGGTTGAGCTGCTGTGAGTCACATTGCATTTTTTTTGTTGACTTGCACAGCCAATTTCTGTAGGTCAGCTGAGGTGTGGTACTTTATTAGCTTCCAGCAACTTATTTCAACCTTTGAGCCTTCAGACATCTAAATATCTTCGTGGATGCAACACTAATGATACAGAAACAATTTATCTGAAGGTTCTTTCATCTACTAGTTGATCAGGGAAGACACTTAAGCCTTCGTTTGTATGAGAGGGGAGCAGCTGGCAGGGCATTTTTCCACACTGCTTTGGAACTTGCACTTCCCCCAGTACCAAAATAGTTCTAGGACATGCTGCAATGGCCCACTTGTTTTTCTTAGCAGTAAGGGGTTGGGAGGATTCTGGTGGAAGACTGTAAATATATCTTTTCAGCTGTTGGGCTATGTTTATTATCAAGTAAAAGGGAGCTACTGCTTTAGTATATCTTTATAACTGACAGGCTAAAAATATAATCTAAAGCAAAGGGTAAGCGTCCCTTTCTTTACAGTGACTGTATTTTTATGGAGGACTAATGAAAAATCATACATAAGAAAGGAGGCAAAGGCTTTTTGCTGAGAACTAGAAAAATATGTGGCAATGTACACATATTAGATACTGATGATAAGATTTGCTAATGAATCAATGGTAAGTTTTCAGTGAATGGATCATTACGCTGTAATATTAACTACAGTAAGTCTACCTAATATTGGATTGTCATTTACTTCCTTCCTATGAATAAAAATGATCACTCCAAATAGCAAAATATTTGAGTCATTGGGTGGAATTGTGGTTAGAAAAGACAGAAAATGAGAATTATTTATTAAACCTATTTCAGTTCTGTAGACTTATTACTTTCAAACAAAAATTATCACCTCCCAGCATACTTCACATCACATATTCTCTCCAATAAATGGAAGGTAGGAGGAGTGATAGCAATAGGGGTTTTAAAATAGGCCTTCACATATTAATGGCTCTAGTGGCATGAAAAATGTTAGTAGAGAAATAAAGTCTCATTGAAAAAATGTAACTGAAAATAGGAGTACAGAGCACAGAACAGCTGGTAGATTGATCAGGGTAAGAGAGTAAGTTCTCCCACCTTGTTTTCTAACAACTCTTGACTCGCTCTCCTTCAAGAGGTTAGGGAGGGTGGGCAGACAAATGTAATACAACAAGGCTGTCCTAACTCTATATAGAAGATGATGAGCTTGTATCTCATGAACAAATATATCCCAAGCTTCAAGATGCCATGGAATCATATTTCATTTACATCATAAGTTATAAGTGATCTCTGTGTTAGCTTTTCCCCTCCTTCCATCACCTTCTACCTTCCAAAGTACTCTTAAATAGATTACATCTCTGTAGAGTTATATTTGTTTTGTTAATGGCTATTTTTGGCTTATCCAATGGCTCTGTCTACTGTTGAAGCTCTATTTCAATGTCTTCTTTAATTTAGAAACTTATTTACAGTGGAAATTTTAAATTGTGAGCTCTCATTTTCGTAAGTGTCTTACAAGCCTAAGTCACTTCAGCAACTTTTGAAAATTCGTGGAGAACTAGGTACAGATAGATAACAAGTTTAGAAAAATCTCTCATTACAAGTATTAAAATGCAGGTTTACTGTTCGTTTAAAGAAAGCCAAACCCACTTACTCTCTGCCGAGTAGTTTGGTATGTGTTGGACTAACTTGAGTCAGATCCTCCCAGTGCTAAGATCTTTGTACTACTTAGGGCATCTTACAGAGGCTGCTGAAGATTTCTTGAGGGAAAGCAGCCTGCAGCATCAGACAATGTGCATGGGTGGAAATGAAACCTTAATAAAGACTTTAACTTATTTTTGCCTGGAAGCTAGATATTAATGAAACAGCTGCAACCAGCATGCCTTAGCTCTCCGATTGTGATGAGGATTGTTTGAATCTTGTGATAAGGATACAGAAAGGTGCCATGTATCTATCACCCAGCCTGCTACCTGCACTAGTATGGACTGAAAACACAGTGCAGGTAAGGACCTAGGTTCTTCTATTGTATTAATTTCTGATATTTGGTCAGGTAGGAGTAATCAGCTGATCTGCTACCTACAAAGAGTTAGGAAAATGTTTATAATGGACAGAATACAGAGGAAGGCAGCAGTATCAATTTCTTGAGGAATAATGTTTCAACCATTTTGCTCTTTTGTGTTCACAAAGGATGAACTCAAACAGGTGCAGGGAAGGGCTATGAGGATGATCAGATGAGTGGACGGTTTATTATAGGAGCCCATAAAGGCTTTGTTTTCATACACTAAATAAGCCTACATATTTATAAATATATAGGAGGGAGAATATACTTAGGCTGAAGAACAGCGTGGAGATAGAAACATGTGGGTGTGAGCTAGTCATGAATAAATGCAGGTTGAAGTAAATTAAAACAAGGTTTTTAACTACCTAACCTTCAAGTAGGAGGTGTGGGAATGAAAGCCCTAACTTCATTTAGGTCTGACTAGTTTCAGAAGGCAGTGCAGAAAACACTAGAAGAAGACAACCTGAGTATTGAGGTGATTCTTCTTCATGCTATTTTCTTGTAACTCTTACAATGAGAAACAGTATTTTAAACATTACCTGTATCACAGTTTTACAATTCACAGAATGGTTGAGGTTGAACAGAACCTCTGTGGACCATCTAGTCCACTCTGGCTGTTTAAGCAGGGACAGCTCAAACAGGTTGCTTAGGGCTGCATCCAGTCATGTCTTGAGTAAGACCAAGGATGGAGACTCCACCAGCTCTCTGTGTAACCTAGTTCACTGTTTGATTATCCTCAGTGTAAAAAAAAAAAAAAAAAAAAGTGTTTCTTGTGTTTTTCTTGTGTTTAGATAGAGTTTTGTGTGTGTCAATTTGTGCCTATTGCCCCTCACTGGACACTGCTGAGAAGAGTCTGGCTTCCTCTTCTTTTTCCCTTCCCGTCAAATATTTACACACATTGATATGATCCCCCTGAGCCTTTTCTTCTCCAGGCTGAAGAGTCCCATCTCTCTCAGACTTTCTCTCTCAGGAGAGGCTGAGAGAGATGCTTCAATCCTTTATTCATTTTAGTGGCACTTCACTGGACCTACTCCAGTAAGACTTTATCTTGTACTGGTGAGCCCAGAACTAGACCCAGCTCTCCAGCTGTCTCATCAGTGCATAGCAGAATGGAGTGATCACCTCCCTCAATGTGCTGGCAATGCTCTTTCCAATGCAGCCCAGGAGGCCGTTGACCTCCTTTGCTGTGAGGGTGCGTTACTGGCACATGGTCAATGTGTGGTTGGTTGGAAGGACCCCAAGGTCCTTCTCTGCCAAACTGCTTTCCAGCCAGTCAGCTGCCAGCCTGTACTAGTGCAAGGGGTTATTTGTACCCAGGTGCAGTACTTGGCATTTTCCTTTGTTGAACTTCATGAAGTTTTTCTCTTCCCATGTCTCCAGCCTCTGTGGGTCCCTCTGAACGGCTGTGCACTCTTCTGCTGTATTAGCCATGCCACAGAAGTTTGTAATAACTGTGAATTTGCTGAGTGTACACTCTGTCCCATTGTACAGATTGTTAATGAGAGCCTTGGATGGGTCTGGCCCCAGTATTAACCCCCCTGAGGTACACCACAAGTGACTTGCCTCCAACTGGACTTTGTGCTGCTCTTCACAACCCTCTTGCCTCCAACTGCCTGTTGACACGCTGGAGGGAAGGGACGCTATCCAGAGGAATCTTGACAGGCTTGAGAGGTGGGCCTGTGCAAACCTCATGAGGTTCAACAAGGCCAAGTGCAAGGTCCTGCAACTGGGTTGGGGCAATCCCAAGCAAAGAAAGAGGCTGGGTGGAGAATGGCAGAGAGAGAGCAGCAGAGTTGAGAGCAGCCCTGAGGAGAAGGACCTGGGGGTGTTGGTTGATGTGAAGCTCAATGGGAGCCATCAATGTGTGCCTGCAGCCCAGAAAGCCAACCATATCCTGGGCTGCATCAAAATAAGCAGGTGCAGCAGGGTGAGGGAGGTGATTCTCCCCCTCTACTCAGCTCTCATGAGACCCCACCTGGAGAGCTCTGGGCCCCCAACACAAGAAGGACATGGAGCTGTTAGAATGAGTCCAGAGGAGGGCCATGAGGATGATCAGAGAGCTTGAGCACCACTCCTGTGAAGACAGGCTGAAGGAGTTGGGGTTGTTCAGCCTGGAGAAGAGAGGGCTCTGAAGAGACCTTACAGTGGCCTGCCAGTGCTTAAAGGGGGCCTGCAGGAAATACGGTGAGGAACTCTTTGTCAGGGAGTGGAGTGAAAGGGCAAGGCGTAACAGTTTTAAACTAAAAGAGGGTAGGTTTAGATTAGATATTGGGAGGAAATTCATTACTATGAGGGTGGTGAGGCACTGGTACAGGTTGCCTAGAGAAGCTGTGGCTGCCCCATCCCTGGAAGTGCTCAAGGACCATGCTGGATGGGGCCTTGGACAACCTGGTCTGATGGGAGGTGTCCCTGCACATGGCAGCAGGGTTGGAATTAGATGGTCTTTAAGGTCCCTTTCAACCCAAATTCAAATTCTGTGATTCTAAGACATCACTTGATTAGAGGGAATGCTTGTAGTTAAGTCAGAGGAAGTAAAACAATAGCACAGGGTAATATTTGATTCTGCAGACATTCAGAAACAGGCATAGAATATGAGTGTACTTTTGTCTTAACTGTGATCTACTGATGACACTAAAGTCATATTTCTAGATTTAAGTGTTTAAGCATATATTTATGCCTTTACAAAAAAAAGCATTAATGATGGTATTATAAGAAAACACTGAGAAAACAGTACATTAATTAAAGAGATTGTAATTATTCTACAATAAGCATATTTCATCCTTTTAGAAAATGGTGTTAGAAATGATGTGAGTCATAGTACATGATCCGAACTTTTTAAATTTTGCCAAAACTTTAATTAAAAAGCAAAATAAAGTTTGGCTCTTGAGGGGAGAAGCAACTGTCCCATGGTTAAGAGTCTGGGTAACAGCAAAAATGAAACACAGATCGGTCTTGTTCTGGAAAACGTGAAATGTGGATTAAAGACCTAAGTAGTGGTACAAAATTTGCAGATCCCTAAGGAGTCTCACGGCTATTTTTTGTTGCTTTGAAAAGGCACTTCTAGTAAAACCTTCTAGTAAATCATCTCCTCACAGAGTCCCTGAGACAAAGTAGTCACAGGGTGCTCATTTACACCGTAGAATAAGTATGCCATTTTCTGATTTGAAACTGTATAATTTCTTCCAACCTTTATGGAATACAAATATTTTGACCTTATGAAGATTTCAGAGTTTTAGTTTGGAAAGAATAAACATACAGATAGTATTGGGTAGCAACTCCAATTATGCTAGATAGTTTTGACAGAATTAAATTTAACCTAGTGCTGCCAGTTTCAGATGCCATACTACAAGGCGTGAACAGGTGTTAACGACTCTGTTCATCTTCCCAAAGCAAAATTAAAGCACAGCTGTATGCAGTATGCCATTTTAAAACAGAGGCTTTCTGTATCATTTGAGTAATGTTTCAGACTTACTCCATTACATTTTGGGAAGAACAGTTTCTCAAACGATTAAGTTAGTAAAAATAGGTCCTTCTACCGAAGTATGCAATTTCGGAAGAAAAGCCAGTCTAAGACATTGTTTCTAAGAAGAGAAAGAAATTGCTTACAAATCCAGTTCAGGCTGTTCACATGCTCAAATTATGTCATCTGGAGCTTGATGTCTTGAGGCCTAAACAAGCTTTCAGTTGACAGAAATGCAGATATGTATTATAACATGCCTATTCCCTTACAAAGAAACTAGAACAAAAGGGGAAGCCTGTAGGCTCTGAGAAAGCTTGCAGACTGCACTCACAGAATAACCCATTAAAAAGTTCAGCTAACGAGATGTCTGTTCAAGACAATGCTAATAGAACTTGCAGTTTCTGTGTGTACTATTCAGCAAGGAATCATTCACCAAGCCATCACTATATGCCCACCCCCAGGCCAAAAAGCATGCGGAACAAATACCACACTAGTTGTCTCAATCTCATCTTAACATGCACCTGCTTAGGAAGTGCTCTAAATAATATTTCAGAGGAGGTGGAGCTTTACAGTAACATTACCCCCAAGAAGTCTTCCAAAATATCCTCATCTATCCTACATTTTGTATTTGGAATTTAATAATGCCATAATGGGAAAACTGCTTCTCTGAGGCAAAAGCACAGTTACATTATTTATCATTTGAAAATATCTTTTGGAGTACTGAGATTTAGCAGGGCTGTAAACAAGATTCTCCGTGTTGTAGGTGGAGATCAGAAATACCTCCTTTGACTTTAACACAATGGTACTAAAGTGAGAAGAATAAGGAGGTGGGAAGAATATCTATCTCTGTTGATCTAAACAACGTGAAACTTGAACGTTACATTTTCTGGCCAGAACTACACCAAAGCTCAATGATTTGAAGAGTCACAGGGCTAGCTTTAACTGTTACTTTGATGGTATTTTTACATGATCCATATGACTGTGTGGTAAGTGCTTTTTTAAGAAAAAATATTTCAGTGAAGGTACAAGCATTAGTGAGTGTGTGTGCATCTGCAACAGATCCACTAAAATATGGGTGTCTTAAAATATGTCAAGATGAGCCAATCCTGTAAGCATTAAAGTCAAAAGCAAAATTCTAATTACCTTGTAAAATGAGGTGGCTAAAGAGGTTTTCTGAAAGGCTTTAAATGCTAAATGTGATTCAATTTACATTTTAAGTATAACATTTGCCTAACCTTATTTTCTAATTACCTAGGGGCTTTGCAAATGGTTACCAAATAATATGTACAAACATGTAAAAGAAGGATATTGAATAATAGGAATAGAAGGCTCTCTTCAAAATGCTAGTTTGCTGCAGAACAAACTTGGAGAGAAACATAAAAATAGTTTATTTTCTTATGCTGATGCCTCTAAAAAAACTAAGACCTGCAGAAAGCAAATGGTATTTGGTAAATATCTTTATTACATTTGAATGATCTCTTCA